GGTCTCCTAATGTGTGCTGTGTCATCTGCTGGATTAGGCATCCTGACCATATAACCAATGGGCAACAGGTGGTCTCGATGGAGAGTTTTGAGGACACCTGGACCATGTTCTGGTTTTACCTTATAAACAGGCAGGTTAGGCAACTTCTCCACTACAACATACGGTGTAGATTTCCAACGATCCTGCAGTTCATGCTTGCCTTTTATTCCAACATTCTGAATGAGAACCCTGTCTCCCTTCTCCAAAGGAAGGTCTCTCACACGTTGGTCATATTGTGCTTTGTTCTCCAGATGATTTTTTTGTAGCTGCATCTGATGCGAGTTTGTATGCATCCTGCAACTCTTTTCTCATCCGTGAAACATACTGTTGGTAGGACTCACTTTCACCATTTGGTGAGGTTCCAAAGCAGATGTCGATGAGCAGTCTGGCTTCTCTCCCGAACATGAGATAATAAGGTGAGTACCCTGTGGCATCACTCCTTGTACAATTGTACGCGTGTACCAGGTGGGTGATACGCTGGCTCCAGCACTGTTTCTTTGCAGTGTCCATGGTACCGAGCATTGATAGAAGGGTTCTGTTGAATCTTTCCGGTTGCGCATCACCTTGCGGGTGGTAGGGAGACGTCCGTGACTTCCGAATCCCCAACATGGACAACAGCTCCTTGATCAGTCGACTCTCAAAGTCTCTGCCCTGATCAGAGTGTATTCATGCAGGTAGACCGTAGTGCACAAAGTACTTCTCCCACAGGACTCTTGCAACGGTAATGGCTCTTTGATCTTTGGTAGGAAATGCCTGTGCATAATGTGTATAGTGATCCGTCACAACTAACACATTTGCAACACCCTTAGAATCAGGCTCTATCTGTAAGAAATCAATGCAGGCCAAGTCTAGTGGGCAATTGCTTGTTATCTGATTCAAGGGCGAGGCACACTGAGGGAGCGTCTTCCTGGAGATGCACCTCCCACAAGTGCGAATGTACTGCTCAATCTCAGCTCAGCTGCCAGTAAAACCTCTCTTTAATCAGTTCTGTTGTTCGCTCTGCTCCCATGTGCCCCCACTCATCATGCAGAGACCTTAACACCATAGACATGTATCTTGCTGGCAAGACAAGCTGCCGGCTTTGTTTTCCACACCTTTTTTCCTTTTACTCTGTAGAGTAATCCATCACTCAACTCCAATTTGTGACTTTCACGGAGGAGCATCACAGTCTCTGGCGAGTCAGTTTTAGAGCGAGCAAACCCTTTATTGCTCTTGATGGCTTTCTTCAATGGCCCAATGGTAGGGTCCATATCTTGTGATATTTGAATGTCTTTTGGACTCAGCTGATCGAGGATGTTTACGCTGAGATTCACGGGAAATGCATAGGCTTCTGGTACTGCAGAGGCAGGAGCACCAAGTTGATCCACCAATCTGTCAGGTAAAACTGCTCCTTCCCTGATGCAGGCTCGTTTACAGAGAGCTTTAATGCCAGCAGGCGGGATGGAAGTCCATTCTCCAACTTCCTCTTGGGCATACTGTCGGGACAGCAAGTCAGCATCAATGTTGTGGCGCCCAGGGCGGTACTGTATGGTGAAATCATACGTGGCGAGGGCAGCGAGACAGTGATGCCCTACAGCACTGAGCTTAGCCGAGGTCAATACGTACGTTAAGGGGTTATTGTCAGTCCTGACAATGAATTTGATACCATACAGGTAGTCGTGAAATTTATCCACAACGGCCCACTTTAATGCCAAGAATTCCAGTTGATGAACTGGATAGTTACGTTCTGAGTCTTTGAGCTTTCGACTTGCGAAAGCTACCGGCCTTAGGCCCTCAGGGT